ATTTGAGAAATGCTGCTCTAATCACTAAAAAGAACGAGGACAAGGACGCCTCGTTCTTTTTGCTGATACAGACTAGCACGGCTGCCACTCTGAAACCTGGCTCTCATCACTGTATCCAATTACAAAGAAGAAAGAACCACTAGAAGCACCTGAAGTGTCTGTATGTGTCAGAGCAGAGCAAATACATTTCATAACAATCTCCCTGAACTGACTAATGAGTCAGCAGTGGCCAGGCCTGGAGCTCTGCTGGGTTCACTTTCCAGGAACTCTCAAGAGGTCACATTTTTATTCACATGAATGCTCACGGAGAGCGTGTGCTAAGCTTGCGAGCTGGAGTAGTCACACCCAGAGAGTTTAATAATAGATGGGAAGTTTCTTCAAAGAGCAGAGGGATGGAATTCCTTCAAGCCCCTCACCAGATCCCTGGCGCAGAGGCAGCTAAAGGAGCCAGATGTGGATCTGAGCCAGGTCGCCAGGACCTCGGATGAATGCACAGTTCCTCTGTGTGGCTGGGAGGAGACGAAATCTGATGTTTTTTCTAGGAATGATGTCACTTCAGGCAAAGTCCATGCAATTTAGCAAAGGAAAAGATTATTTTTTTCTTTAATTCCCTAATCCTATTTATCCGATCCCTCTTACTGAGAAGGTCAGAGCTGCAGTGGCTTCTTTGAGTTCTTCTCCAGATGATAAGACATTCAGGGACTTGAAACAATACCACTGAACATACATGACTATTCACAGCTAATCAACAGCTCCAATTTGGAATATCAAATACCAAACACTTGCAGCAAACTGTCTGCGATCAGCCCAAGAGAGAACAACATTCACATCCAAATTCAAGTGCTTTCAAATTGTTGTGAGACATGGAATGCCAGCCCGTCACAAAGAGGAGGCATTTATTAAAGAAAACTACTGCAACTATAGACACAAGCAATCAGGCTTCCACACAGCTGGTCTTTGTTTACCAGGGCTTGTCTGGATCTCTTATATGGCAATCGGAGAAATCTAGTGGTTGAATTATGTACTGCAAGTAAATGTATCCTTATACAAGAAACGAATACATGATCCACTTGCAGACACCCTGGCAGTGGAGAAAAAGGCTAAATGAATCATGCCAATTGTTTGCATGTCTTGGGATTAAAATAATTGGTTACGCCAACTGTTAAATTAACCCTTAAAAACAGGTTTCAGAGTAGCAGCCGTGTTAGTCTGTATCCGCAAAAAGAAGAACAGGAGGACTTGTGGCACCTTAGAGACTAACACATTTATTAGAGCATAAGCTTTCGTGGACTACAGCCCACTATATGCATCCGAAGAAGTGGGCTGTAGTCCACGAAAGCTTATGCTCTAATAAATTTGTTAGTCTCTACGGTGCCACAAGTACTCCTGTTCTTCCTTAAAAAACAATGGTTACAGAAACAAGTTTTCTGATTTCCAGTGCCTTCAATATGGGGAAGACAGTTCTTTCATTGCTGCACAATATCTTCAATCCGGCTTACTCCCAGGAAATGTAAGAGACAAAATAGATGCCATGAGGTACTCAGATATGATGGCGATGAGGATCATATAAGATGATAGGTAAATAGATAGGCGTGAGGGTGGGGATAGCTAGGTATTTAGGTAGATAGGTAGGGGAGTGTGTGTGGATAGATAGATAGATAGATAGATCCTAGAGCTTATTTGCTGAATAGAGATACAGAAATAGGGATCTGCTTTCCTAAAAAGTGACTAAAAATTTATTTCTATATTATCTATTCCAGTTTAGTATATACCTATTTAGCTGTCCAAGGTGCTCACTGAAGACTTCCTAGGACAGCTACCTTCACAGGTAATGACTAACACTAATTTGTTAGTCTCTAAGGTGCCACAAGTACTGCTGTTCTTCTTCACAGGCAGTGCCTTTAGCTTTGTGCTGTTAAATTCACCTCTGCCCTCATTCCTCTTCATCGCGAGCTTGTTAAATTATCTACAGCCAGTTGTGATATCAGATTTCACGTAAACACAGAGGGGCCAAATTCATCCCTGGTGTCACTCCGTTGACTCCAATGCGGCACCAGGGAACAATCTGGACTATGTCATCCAGGATAATGGCATGCGCACACACTGATTGCATAGACAACATCTGGGGAGAAAGGAATCAGTTAAGATGGTAATGATTACGCGAGGTCTCTACCCTAAACTGGCTCTGGACTGTGCACCATATTAAAATTTCCACTGTGCTTTGCAAGTATCACCTAGTAAATCAATGTAATTTGTATTGTGTAACCCACTGTGCAAAACAGGAAGTTCTCACTCATGATGGCATGGTCACTGCTGGGTATTTAAGGTGGTTTTTAAACTTACACTGAGTCAGGCCAAGAAAGTCAGTGAAAGGAACAGGAATTTGATGTCAGGAAAGCGCCTGCATTTGGCTTCCTATGAGATGAAGAAAAAACCATCCGGTGTGGGGTTAGGGGAAACGGAAACAAAACTTATCAGCAATGAATGGTCTGAGTTCTGGCTGATTGCCCTGCCGTCCAATCCGTGAACAGCAGGAAGTAATCAGCTGTGAAGGAAGGAGACTGGGCCAGAGATTCAGAAATGTTTAAAGGGACTCTTTCCATATGGAGAAGGTCTCCCCGAGAGAGGATTTATTACTGACTGCACGGGGTACAAGCCAAGCATGACGGGTCCAGCTAATCTATGGGCTTTGGTGGCTTTTATGCATATGACCTTATTTATTAGGTTGTAACCAACAGCAAAAAATAGCCCAAACCAACCTGCAGGCCTGCTTCAAAGCTATGACTAGCCCCACACCTGTGGCTGCACTCAGCGTTGAATGACAAACAGTTAACCAAAGGAACTCCCCTTCCCTCTTTCTCCAGTCCATCACTAATTATTTCAGCAATGGGCACAGTATTCCCATACCCCATAGATCCCTCTCAATTCAACCCCCACCTGAAGCATGTGCTGAGAACTGCTGAACTAAGGTCGCTCTTGCTAAATGAAGGAGCGAGCAGAAGGGGAGGGTCTTTAGTAAGAGATCTTCCGTTCAAACCCTGGGCACAGCCTTAAGTGTGGGACGATTGATGACATCGCCAGCAACAGCAGTGTCATGAGAGAAGGGGCTAAGTAGCCCTGGATCCAGAGAACAGGAACTGCCACTTTTGGCAACCACATGGTGATCAGGGATATATTTCCTTTCCATTGAATACGCATTCAGGGGCGTGGACTATTGACATGGGGCAGGTCAATATGAGGGAAGACAGTTCCTTTGCCCTGCATGAATTTCCCACCCCACATGTGGTCCCCAAACATGCCTAGCAGGAGGAACAAATGCATCTGAAAAAATATCTTGGGATTAAGCTTGTTATATTCTCAGTAGTTACCCCTGCTCTTAGGGCTAGCCGATAAATGGAATAGCATGGGTAGCAGATACCTAATATATGACCTTTACATAAAGGCTTTGATTTTCTAGTGCTGCTTGCTGTTCTAGCCGGGGATCTGCATAAAGAATCAGTGGGTCGGTGTCTGTTGCCACGGTGACTGAATATTGTCCCCATTCTTCTGGTTGAAATTATAACAACATTTACTAGCTCCTTTGTGCTCCACGCTAAGTGTAACTTTAAATGCCAAAGGGCACAGTCCACCCAGTTATAAAACACTTGCATTACATATACCCAGAGATGAGATCTGGTGAGCAAATTCCATGCACTCGCAACCTATCACACAGTCTCTCTGCCGTCTTTATAGAGTTGGTCTGGTCTGGTCTGCGATGGCTATTTCTAATTCATCCAATGACGAGAGCCCCCTTTTTTCTGTGTTTAAATGTGCGGAAAGCTCCACCTGTTCCCTGGTATTCCAGTCATTATTTCTATCTATTTGATTAGTCTTTTTTTTTTAATTTTTAACTCAGGGAGCCCACAAGGAACAGACAAACCAAGCAGGTTGAATCTGCAAAAATACTTTATATAATGTACGATTTGCTGAGCGCAGAGTACAATACAGTTAATATGGTTCTGTCACTTCCTCAGGAATACGTTATATAAAACTGTCTTTGCCACATAATTATATTGTAGAATGACAGGAGACTAGATTAATAGTTCTTCAGGCTTGACAGAATACCATATCGCCTTTGTGCCCCACACAGAGACACATGAATAAATATGAAAAAAATGTCATTTGACTATGTATCTATACATTTCCAATTCTATTCCAGTGGAGGGGAAGGATGGTTTTATGACTCCAGAACTGGATTGGTATGAGCTGGATTCAATTCCCAGCTATGGTGTAGACTCGTGTGTGGCCTGCCCTGGAGGAAATCTCTTGATCTCCTTGGGTGTCAGTTTCTCCTCTGGATAACAGGGATAATTTCATGCTTCTTGTCTCCCACCCTCTGTCTGGCCTGTCTCTTTAAACTGCAAACTTTGGAACAGGGATGGTCTCCTCCGACCCTAATAAGTCTTTACAGGCGCTGGCAGAATGAGACTGATTACAGCTCCAGGTGCTCCTGCGATGCAAACAAGCATATGCAAAAGGAGTGCACTACATGCACACTCATCCGGATTTAATAGCCTGATTTTCTCGCGCTCTCTCGGGACATTCTGTCCATTCCTCAGCCCGCATGTACACACGTCTCCTCGGCTCCAGTGAACTCCCCGAAGGGAGCCAAGCCCTGATCCCGGGGGCAGTGCCTTGCAACCGAGCCGGGTGACCTGGGCGCAGGCAGGAACACCGGCGTTGCAAACGGAGCACTTACATAAGTAGCCAGTCCCTTGCCAGGTGGCGTTAGGGACCAGCCCGAGCCGCCCCAAGGGGGATGCTGCAGGCGGGCGCGGGGTCAGTGACTCCTTTCCCCCAGACCCTCCCCCTCAAGGCTCCCGGTCTCTCCCTCCAAGCAAACTCCAGCCCCTCGGTTATGAAACGCAGCCCGCAAGGTCTGTTTCACAACAGGGGCGGGCCTGAGCCGGCCGCCAATGGGCAGGCGCCGGAGCCCCATCACATGGGGGCTGCTCCAGATTTTATGTAATGTAGTTTTGTGCAAGCAACAAAAGCGATGGCGAGCCGGGGGGAGGGGGCCAACGCCCCCTCCCCTCCCCCCGACAAATCGCTCCTCGGGGATGGAGCTGGGCTGCTCCAGCCCTGGGGAAGTGACTGCACCCACCTGCCCCCCCCGCCTTCCTCCCAGGGAAGAGGAGGGTGGGAGGAGCAGCCTCCTCCCCCAGGCAGGGCGGCAGAAGGGATGCGAAAGGGGAGATCCGGGGAAACCTGTCAGAGCGGGTCCGAGACGGTGACCCCGACACGCAGGCCGGCGAGGGGGTGTCACCCGCGGGCAGCCCGAGCGAGCCCCGCTGCCCCCGGGGGCTGTGCCAGCCAGGCGAGGATGGGCTGAGGGGCGCGGAGGGCCCTTGGGTGCTTCGCTCGGGTGCGCGGCTTTCAGCCCCTCGCCTTGTCTCGGGCCACCCCCCGCCCCAGTGTCCCTGGCCCTGCGGGGGCCCGGAGCCTGTGGCGGGGCGGAAATCCAGCCCGTCCCCCGCGCCCCGGGCAGCCCGGCTCCAGGGGCGCATCCCGGCGCGCTGCTGCCCGGGAGAGGGTCGCGGTAGCTCCCCGCCGCCTCGGGCCGGGGCCAGAGCCGGAGCGATGGACGTTTTCCTCTGCCCCGCGTGTCGGCTTGTCCTGTGGGACCCGGTGACCGTCTCCTGCGGCCATTCCTTCTGCAAGCGGTGCCTGGGCGAGGCGCTGCCCTCCCGCTGCCTCGTGTGCCGGGGGCGGCTGAGGCTCCCGGGCTCCAGAGCGGTGCATTGTAACGTCCTGTTGGGCAGCCTGCTGGAGAAGTGCCTGGCCCGGGACACCCAGCTGGCCCGGCTGCAAAGCCACGCGCAGGAGCTGCTCCGGGGCCGGGACTACCGGGCTGCTCTGAGGACCACCCAGAAAGGGCTCGAACTGGGTAAGCGTGGCGGGTCTGGGGGGGTGGGGAGGAAGGCTGGTCAGTGTCTGGATCCACGCACCCAAACCAAGCCACCCCCCACCAGCTCTTGGTTATGTAACTTCTCGCCAGAAACCGCCAGGCACGACTGCACTGTCTCTCTCCTTCTTAGTTTCCTGTTCATAAAAAGCCGCTTTATGCGCCCAGAGGGGAACCCCACCATCAAAGCCGGTGAATGAAGCTGTGACTTCACGCGGTGTCACTAACAGAGGCTGCTCATTTTCACCAGCTTGCACTGATGAAGGGTTTAATTCCTCCAAACCCCACCCCCCAGGACTTTTAAAAGGGCACGTTTATCATCATCTGTACCACAGCTCCAAAGTCAGATAGTAACAGCCCTCTGCTTTGCAGACAGTTGCCGATATTTTCTTTTGCGAGCCCTGGGCACTATTTGCACATATATAGCTTCCCGCGATGCGTATGAGCAGTCATGGCTCTTCCTTCATGACCCACTTCTTTGGCAGGTTGAGGGGTATAGTTTCTGCTGTCAGCCTCTAATCCGAAGGGTTTCGGGTGTGGAAGTGGCAGCAGAATTGGAGCCATGATTTGCAGGAGGAGCTGTGAGTTTCTGAGAGGATGGGAGGGGAATAGCTGTTTTAGAAGTTGGAAGATCAGTAGCACAGAGCGCTCACATCCAGCAATGTGTCAGTCCCAGGGGAAGTTCTTGGCCCAGCTTTGCCGGTCACAGGGGCAGTGCCACTGTTGCTGGAGCGATGTGGAAAAGGGCTATGAAGATGGAAAATGATCAGCAGGGTTGTGAGACCGTCACAGTGTATCCACCCACAGTTGCACCTGTCGGAGCCACCTCTGCCTCTTGGGAGAATGCAGCCCCGGCAAAGACTCGTAGCCAGGGGTTGACTAATTCTCTACTCTCCCAGGACTCCGAGGGCCAGGGTTGGATCCTGCAGTCTTGTTTCAGGATTGACCTCCAGGGGAAATTTGCCGGCAGGATCAGGCCCAGGATTTTCTGAACATAGGATGGAATGTGGATTGCTCCTAGGACAGCAACACTACTGAGTACCCACTTAGCGCTTAGCTACAGCTTTGTATTTGCAGTGCACGGCACAAACATTAATTCATTAATCACCATAGTACCAGAGCATGGGAATGGGGTGTATCTATGTAAGTGACTTGCTGATGGTTAATACATCCTCATTGTGTCCTGAGCAGATCCTTTTATCCAACATATTAACGTAAGACATGCATCACTTTTCAGCATCATGATTACTTGATCAAGTCTTGAAGCAAATGCATGCATGTGTGTTTATTAACATTTTCATTACTGTTTTATTTTACATCATGGGATTTCTGTAAAAGAAATACTGATAAAAATGTTCAGAGCTCCAAATCCTTGTTACACTGTATGTGTGCTCCAAAAGTTCTCGGTTCTATGCTTGTCTTTATTCTTATTATCATTTGGACTGCTGCTGCGCCAGTCTCCTGGTGCTAGGCGCTGTACAAACACATAAGAAATACTCGATCCCTGCCCAGAAGAACTTCCCATCTTGGTTATGGATACTGCCTGTCTATAAACAAAGTTTTAAAACGTGTTATTTTCAAGGGAAATGCAAAAGCACTTTGCAGTTAACCAAAGGCAGTGCTTTGTCAATCCATCTGTTGCCTTATATCTCTTCTGCCAACGAGCTAGTGTATCAGTGAGAATCTTCTTAACTTATAGTGGCAATCAAGATAACGAAATACCATTAGGCAACAGCTACAGACTTAGAAGAAAACACAGAGCAGTCACAAAAAGAACATCTAGCCAGATCTTGAACTTGGGGTGTAGTATCTTACTTTCCCCCACAAGCTCAAGTTCATGTGGGTCTCTGTGCATGTGGCAAATAAACTTGATCCGTAGACATCATTAAACCTGTGAATACGACTGGCCATGGCATTCTGGCTTTACACACACTTGAAGGGGACAGGTGACGTAGTGCAAAGGAGTCACACCCTCGCTCCTCCCCTCTGGATTCTGAGCTCGGCTCAGGCCCCCAAATGACAAATGAGTTGTGATTTCACCGTGGTTTCCATTGCACCTCTTAACAAAACGCACTGCACAGCTCAGTTTGGTTGGCAGTCCTGGCTCAAAGACTAGCACTGGGAGAAGGGGCTGCAGCTACTGCTGTTATATATATTGCAGTAGCACCAGGGAGAGGAGACCCAGTAAGAGATAGGAGCCCCATTGTGTGAGGCAGCGTGTAGATAAGTAAAGGAAAGGCAACTGCTACTCCAGAGAGCTCATTCTCCAGGATTATGACAAGACACAGCAGGTGGATACAGAGACACATGGGGATGTGGGCAAGGTTACAGTAAAGACAGGTATGTTTGCGTGAATGAATAGTCACATTGGCCATCCTAGACACAGCTGTCGGCCTTCCTGGACTGCGGCTCATTGGCAGAACTGCATCAATGGCAGAGGATTCAGGTGCACTGGCAGTGTTGTGTGTGTGGGAAACTTCCATAGCCAACCAAGCCAAAAACTGCTGCACCCCCTCAGGCTTACCCAGAGCAATGCACCAGAGCATATGTTCAGAGCACTTACGATTGTTTTATTATGGAGAAGAGAACGCTGCTCACATTTCACCAGCATGCCTTCTTCCGAGCGGCTTTGCTAGAATCTCTTATCTGGAGTTAAATAACTGTAAGGACTTGGAAAGCGTTTCTAGTTTGTTGCTGAATTTTAGCCCAAGGCCCTTTGGCTATAGAGAAGTCCGTGGCTGAGTTTTCTTAGGGCTGCGTCGGTGTTTAACACGCACATCAAGCAGCAGATTTTTGCCCCCCCTTAGTCTTAAAATCATAGAATCATCGAAATGTAGGACTGGAAGGGACCTCGAGAAGTCAAGGCCAGTCTCCTGTGCTAAGGCAGGGCGAAATAAACCTCGTCTAACCTATTCTTGAAAACTTGCTGTGATGGGAATTTCATAACCTCTCTTGGATGCCTATTCCAGAACTTAACTACCTTTATAGCTGGAAAGTTTTCCTAATACCTAACCTGAAGCTGCAGATTCACATTACTTCTTATCCTGCCTTCTGTGGACATGGAGAACGATTGATCACCGTCTTCGTTAGAACAGCCCTTCACACTGTCATCAGTTCCCCCCTTCCCCGGTCTTTTCTCAAGACTATTCTTAGTCCGCAAATGAATTTCCTGAGGTGGGATGCCTGGCCACTGCGTTTGTATTCATTCAGAAGGATGGCACTGCGTCTGTCCTTGTTATCACTTGGTTCTGGGTCGCTGCTGTCAATCTCTCACTTTAACGCACCAGTGCAGCCCAAACGAAACCCATCTGAGCAGGGTGACGGCTTCCCCAGCACAGACATGGAGGCGATGTTATCCTGGCCAGGGAGATGAGCCTTCCTGGGAGTGCCGGAGAGCCAGCAGTGTCGTTAGTGCAGGAGTATTTTCTCTCGCCCGCTGTGGATTGCAGAGATGGGCTGAGGTTCACAGCCAGGCTTTCTCATTGATTAAGCTTGTACCCGTCAGCAGTCCTGTAACATTCTCATGAGGAGTGACTGAAAGAGAGAAAATATTCGTAGACAGACTGCTTGGCCAGGAAAATTACCAGCATACTGGGGGACAGGTGGCCCCCCTCTGCAAATTAATATACGGTATAACAGGTTGTCCCAGGGAGACTTTTAGTTAGAAGTCATCAGCTGAAATCCAGCCTAGGTCAGTAGGGTCTGAAAGCAATATCATCTTGTGCTTATTCGGTAACCTCTATGAAATTAGAATTGGGGGTGTTAGTGAACAAGTGGCCATATGACACCAGCAATACCCCTGGCGCCCACAATGGAAGTGCTGGAAGAAAGGCAAACCTTAGAGCTGGTCCCACCAGGTCAGTGGATGAGGCCCAGTGTAAGGGAATGTTCTGCAGTGCTGTCTGTCCAGGTGCTAGCAGAGCTCTGTAGAACTGGCACTACGGCACATTTAGTTGGTACTAAAGCGGGGAACTTCAAAGGTGCCCAACTGCTATTAATAGGTCAACGAGAATTGAATTCCTCACTCCCGTAGGTGGCTTTGGGGAATCTCAGTCTCAATTTCTACTTGAAAACAGAGCCAGTAAGGGACACAGATTCCCTGTCTTTGTTCCATATTCCTCCTCCATCCATCTTCCTTGACACGGAGATGGCAAACACTTGGCCAGACGGACTGAGAGGCTGTCTAGTGTCACTGCAGCCTACGGGTCCTCAGCCGAAATGTTGTTTTGTGATGTCTCACAGCAGCATCGCTCAGTGACTCACAGCAGACGCCCCTGGGCCTTCTATGGCAACAGCACACCACAGGGACTATTTTTATTCTTTCTCCAGCCACAGAAGCACAGCTGTGTCCCAAAAAATGTGCTTCTGGATGTCTGGAGAACAGCCCCCGCAACCTTCGAATCAAGAGGTCCTGTTCTTGAAAGGCAGCTCCTTGTCACATTCCACTCAGCTGAGGTCTTGCTAAGAGATTGGATACATCAGGATAAATTGGAATGAAGGGAAATTTAAGGGGCGGGAGAGGGGAATCCTTAGGTTGCTTAGATTGTTGAATAGTCTCTGAAGGGATGCTGGCTGTGATCCAGCCTTATTCCACCAAGCACCTGAGATTAAAAAGTAGGGAGCAGTTCAGCATTAGCAAGAAAGGGACTAGATGAAATGGAAGTTTTGATTCCCTGTCTCTAAGTAGTACTTGTTATTCTGTCCTTTTCCCATAGCCTGTGTCTGGCTCATCTATTTAGATCAGAAGCTTTTCGGGACGGAGTTTGTCTCTTACTCTGTGTTTGTACAACACCCAGCACAGTGGGGCCCCAATCTTTGCTGGTCCTTAGGCACTACCATAATAAACATGATTCAATATTATAAGGGCGGTTAGTTAATCTGAGATACCCCCAGTGGTTTTAAGTAGAACTGGTCAAAAATGTTCAGTTGAAAAACAGTTTTCTTCCTTTTATGTACCATTTTCATTTTTTACTTATCAGTTTTCAGTTTGTTTTCGTTTGATGATTGTACCTGTTTGGATCAGACCAATTCACCACGCGGCAGGCTTCTACAAAAATCAGAAGTACACCCTAAATGAAACGTGTCTATTTCAAAATTGAAAAAGAAAAATCATTTTTGAGAAATTTCCAAAACATGTGAATACAGTAATGTAGATAAAAGAATTCCTTGCAAATATTTGGGGATCAAAAATGAAAAACCGGGCCCATTTTGAAACCCAGCAGAATGAAATCAGTCTGAAAATTTCAGAGTTTTCATGAGCTAAGGTCTGGAATTATAGAGTCTTTAGCTTTGTTGACTAACTCTAGTTTAATCCAAGCCTGCTTTTGCATTACCAGTTCCTGTTATAAAATATTGACATCTGTGACTAGTGTCAGACTAGATCACCTAGTTAGCTGGATTAGATCTCTTAGTCATGTGTCTGATGTGGATATTCCACTGTGAGAGTGCTAACCTGCTAATTCATTGCCTTACGGACCCTTCTGCATCCTGGCCGGAAATTAAGTCATTAACAAAAAATAATTAGTGCCAACAGTGTGAATTTAGTGGTGACAAAATCATGGCGTAAGTTGATCAAAATGCAAATGCGAGTGTATGTGATAAAATAGTGCAAGTCTCACTGATTTGGCATACGAGTGTGCAAAACAATTGTCACAACTGTTTTATCCTGTTAGCCGGCTTTCCTTCTCCACCTTCTCCACCACGCTTTTGATGTGCAAGTTATGCTTATTTTGCCTTGTCCATCCAGTGCCAAGTCAGTGCAAGTTACACTACTTTGCCCCGACACCTGTTTTCTGATGTTATCCTCCCCCGCAGCTGAATTGGTCCAGGAGATTTCCACAGGACTTGCACCTGTTTGCACTAGGTCAGAATTCACCGTGTCTAGGAGATGTTGAGTGTAGACCTTGTATTAACGGCCCTGAGGGCTTCTGCCTGCAGCTCCTGATGATGTTTCGCTGAGGCTGTGCCGCTCGGAGGCGTATGTGGCCCTGCAGCAGTACTCAGAGGCGCTGGAGGATTTGGAGGTGGTGTGCCGGAGTGAGCCAGAAGAGTGTGAGGTGAGTCAGTGTGAGGCTGGTGGGTTGGTTCTGCTACAAGAAGGTGGACGGGGCACCTGCTGTGGGCTACAAGGGCTCCTTGAAATGAAACGTGATGCGAAATGTTGCGCTTGAGCTGTGGGACTGCAGCCGTCTGCTCACAGGGACGGGGATTTTGTTCCTGGGACTGTTAGAACTCTAACTGCTGGCGGGCTCTTCCTCCCCGTTTCTCCCAGAGGGCTTCATTTGGCCCCAGGAATCTCCCTGATCTCGTTTTGCCACACTTCTGCGAACCCGCCTACCTCCCCGGAGAGATTTAGAGCTGTCCAAAGGAGATGGGGAGGGGGGTTCTACAAATATTTAAGAGCACAATTTGAATCTGTTATCAAACATAAACCATGCCAGGAGTGAACATGATGCACCTAGCAACTTCTCTGCTGGTGTACTAGGATTCGGCTCTGGGACTCAGAACCCACTCAGATTTCAGCTGTTGCGGTTTTGGAGGGTCTTCTCCATGAAGCCTCTTCCCCGCTCCAGCTCCAGGGTGCTTTGCCTTTTTGCCACTCTTCCTGAAATTCATGGGCAGGTCAGCATCCCATGAGCCTTAGGGCCTGATCCAATGCCTGTTATAAACATTGAGAATCTTTCCATTGACTTTAATGGGCATTGGATCAGGCTTTAACTTGCTATGTCATCAAGTGCATGCGGTTTGTTTCGTGCATTGCAATGCTCTGTCATGGTGCGACGACTCCGTCATCATTCAGTGAGGCAGCATTGTCATGTGACGCTGTAAACTATTGAGCCTTTGAGGACAAACACTCAGAGGTGGGAACTTTTCCCTCATCCCTTCTCCTGGGAAATCAGATGGCGTTTTCCAAGGTGCATTTGGCAGGAAGTTCATCCCTTATATAGTTAGTGTTGTAAATGCATATGGGGACCAGGCCATTTTTTGTTAACGCTGGCACAGCTGTTGTTCCCTTGTATGTTGCCAAACAAAATAGAGTTGTTTTCTCTATGGTGAGATCTTCCTGCGGCTCACTAAATGCTGGAAGTAGGTGCTTTCTTCTTGGCATTCCCTCCACAGGCCAGGTACAACTGGGCATTTGCTAGACAAGCCCATTATAAAAGGAGCTGGATGCATGGTTCCCTCCCGCCTCCAGTGCCCTGCTAGAGATTTCAGGCCAGACCTTGAAGGGGAAAGGTAGGGTTACCATATTTCAGCAAGAAAAAAAGAGGACGGGAGGAGCCCCGCCCTAGCCCCGCCCCTGCCCCTCCCACTTCCCGC